CCCCAAAACCCCAAAACCCCAAAACCCCAAAACCCCATATACACAAGATTTAAAAGCATTTAGATTAGTTTAAATAATAAATAAAAAATGTTAGATGAGGATGTTATAGTGGGAGGAAAATACCTAATGGGGAGGAAAATAGGCTCTGGATCATTTGGTTCTATCCTCCTAGGTACTGATATAGAAAGCGCAAAATTTGTAGCTATTAAGTTTGTAAGTACTGCATATCCTTTATAATTTGAGGATAGGAAAAGCCATCACTTTCGTAGCATCCATAGTTACTTTATGAAGCCAAAATTTTAAAATCTATTCATCAAAAAGAAAAGGTTAAAGGAATACCGTATGTTTATTATCACGGTACTGAAGCTGATTTTAACATCTTGGTAATGGATATGCTTGGCCCATCTCTAGCTGATTTATATACTTTTTGTGGAAACAGATTTTCACTGAAGACAACTCTAATGCTTGCTGATTAAATGCTGGGGAGAATAGACTCAGTTCATAAGAAAAATTTCATTCATAGAGACATGAAACCAGAAAACTTTCTGATGGGAATTGGGAGAGACTCTCATACAGTTTATATAATTGATTTTGGACTGAGTAAAAAGTTCAAGGATGCAAAAACTCATCAGCATATTCCTTATAGAGAAAATAAAAACTTAACTGGAACGGCTCGTTACGCATCTGTAAACGCTCATCTAGGTATTGAATAATCTAGAAGAGATGATTTAGAGTCGATTGGTTACATTCTTACCTACTTTGTTAATGGTGGATTACCTTGGCAATCACTCTAAGCTAATAACAGATCTGAATGATACAACAAAATATGCGAGATGAAACTAAGAATCCCTGTTGAATAGTTATGCTTTGGGCTACCAAGTAAGTTTTATATCTCTAGCTAATCATTGAATTAGATGAGTTTTCCTCATACTTGAACTATTGCAGATCCTTGAGATTCGAGGATAGACCAGATTATTCTCATCTAAGAAAGATGTTCAAAGAACTGCTTGTGAGATCTGGCTATGAATACGATTATGCTTTTGATTGGGTTATCTTAAATGATAAGCTTATCAACTAAAATGCTTTAAATATGGTAGACAATGGTGAAGAATAAGAATCAAGTAAGGATAATTTGTATTTTATTGTATTAATGTAGAACAATCTAGCATGGTACAAAATGATGATAAAGATAAAGAAGAAGAGAAGTCAGTTGATTCAAAGGACAAGGATAAATCAGGCCTTAATGATGAAGATAATAAAAGTGGTAGAGATTCAGACGAAGAAGAGGAAAAGGATAAAATGGATGATGAAAATAAGAATTCAGATGAGGATGGTGAGGATAAAAAGAAAGAGGGATTTGAAGATGAGATGGCAAAGACAGATGCTTAGGAAACTTCAAAGAAAACTTCAATTATGGAAAAACTTGCGAGTTAGTAATAAAAGCCAGTTAAAAAGTTCTTAATGTAAGGTTAAGAGCAAATAGATCGTGAAGGTGCGGGTAAAGATAAAGATAAAAATTCTAAAAATAAGAAAGGCAAAAAAAAGCCTAAGAAGGATGAAAATTGCTATATATTTTGATATATTCCAGATTAAATCTTAATTTCATAATAGAAATTGTTAAAGTATTTTCTCCAAATGGGGTTTTGGGGTTTTGGGGTTTTGGGG